GTGTTGTCTAATAATGCACGACCCAAAGATTGTGCCCCAATATCTCCGACTTGATTGCGTGCGAGATTTAGTGTGGTGATTGTCTAGATGAAAAAGTGGAGGTGAAGACATGGTATAGATAAGAAGAAAATAAAAGTTACTGTGTTGTGTTGTAATGTACGAGCTAAAGATTGTGCTCTAACATCTCCGATTCTCTTATATTGGAGATCTAGTGTGGTGAGTGTCTAAATGAAAATTTGGAGGTAAAGATATGGTACAGGTGAAGAGCGAGAGACAGAATAGTTGGTCCTAGTTAGACGGATTTAGAGAAGTGAAGTAAAGATTGTTGTGACTTCAGTTTAGGAGCTATGGATACAAATACGAGTGTTTATAAGATTGTATATGCTGCATAGTAAATGATAATATTTTGTGAAAATATAGACTGAAAAGAAGTTAACAGGGTTCAACTATGGATAAAAAATTTTATCTTTGAGTTGGTGTAAAGTCTAAATGTTTGTAAAAGAAGAAAAAAATTTTAACTAATGAAAAATAATTTGTAAGAAACTTCTCCACGAAACAATTGAAAAGCTTAGTATAATGTGTCCGAATAGCAATGTATTGCAGTGAATGGCGCAGCGCTTGCTAGTATTCCCGAGGGATGACGAAAGGAAGTTTCTTGTTAGTAGTTAGTGAGCGGTTGTCTTTGACGTTTATTAATCAGATCCGAGATGCGTTTAACATTAGAACTCCGTTTGAGTTATCGAACGTGGTTTTATTTATCCTTATGATTTATATAAGTGAGAAGATATGACCCATTCTGTGTAGGCCATCATCGAAATACACATGATCTGCTCAACCGTGGTCATCCAATTTTACTCATTTTAAGATGTGGATGTGGGCGACCGTAAGAAAAGAGTAATTATATCCACAATCACATTGACCCACACGTATACCTTCAAGACGACTTATACAGCTCGCAGCTCGGGTTATTTTTTATGTATGGTAAGCATGCCTGAAAATCAGATGAACGAATGGACAACGTATCACAGTAAATTCTAGTTTTCTTAGCCCAGAATTAGATTTAAAAAAAACTGATTGATGAAAAGTTTACTCTCATAGAGACTTTTAAAACAAAAAATTATTAAATATAGCTCGTGCAACGAAGAAAATAGTTTTATTGTTCTGGTCATAAATCTTGTTTTGACAAAAACTCCAAACAACTTGCACGAATGGATATTTGCAAACTTTTCTTTCAAATCTATGGAAAACATCAAATAAAGTTTTTACATTATGCATTTTTACACAGAAGTATACAAAAATGATTGCCTTATTCAGTGACATACAGCTCATAATGAAGATTTCAAGCACACTATTTACAAGCAATGTTTTATGAAAAGTTGAGGCTCTGGGAAATCTTTGGAATTTTGTATGAAAGCATAATAATATAAACCAAGACTTTTAAATCCAGACTGCTATGCTAGAGGTTATATAAATTCTTAGAGGGGACCCTATGGCATCTTTCTAGGTTACAAATAACTTGTCTTTTTTCTGAAAAACGAAACTTTCTTGAGGGTATGTAGTAATTCGGTTCCAGTTACATCCACACCCGCTCATTGTCAGAAGTATTTCTCAAGGAAGTATCCAGGACTTAACGTATAACAAGATAAACCAGTGTATTGACGATTAATTTTTGTAAAAAGCTGATTTTAATTATCAAAAAGGTATTTAAACAAAACGTGCTTACATACAGGTAAAAAGCAAATAACAATGTTTTATTCCTTTTCTTCGTTCTTATCTAAGCATTGTATGTTTATGACATTATACCTAGTTTGAAACGTGGAATATTTAGTTGAAATTGAAAACAAAGAAAAAAAAAAGGAATTTTTCAGGAGAAAGGGATGGATGGTGAATTAATTTGAGTGAGACATAGTTTATTCACGTATGTTGTATTGGAGTCAATAGATAAAAATTTAGCTACCATTATACAAAAAGTTTACCTGGTATCGATCGTAGCTATCTAAGATGTTGTCGAACCGTTGACATACGTTTCTCATTGAGAAGAGAATAGTGAAATATGAATGATGATCCAAAATCCGGTAGACAAGCTCTACCGGTAGTGTAAGGAAGTTCACGCCAGCTTGGTTTGCCATTGTATACTGTTGATGAAATGTGTGCTGTGTAGCTTGATATGTTGGTTATATATATTGTTTTCTATCTTATCATTAGACGAGTCGATATTTGTTTTGTTTCGTATATTTCACATGATGTTGTAATTACCTGTTGGAAGAAAAAAAACGAAAAAGAATAATATTATCTACAAAAAAAAGAGAATTGAGACAACAACTATAAACGACGTTTTTGTTAAGATTGTTTTATCGATATAAACTGGTACTTAATAAACATGAATATTGGGTTCTCGATTATAACTAGCAAAGGTTAAAAATCACTTTCTTTGTTATCTATTTCCGTTCAAAATCTATATTGTCATTTGATTGTAAAATCAAATATACATATTTTATAAGATCGTACAGAATTTATTCTCAAAAAATAGTTCGATATGTAAATCGAAGAAAAAAATAAGATCGTTAGTTTCATGGTTGACAAATTTAACTATACTTTGATCTGTTTTTGAACAAATTTGTCTGAAATATTAAGATTATTTTACTTCATATATTGGGTTTTTTCCAGAGGACGGGTGTAGGTGTGTTTATTCTTCTTAAAACATTACATTCACACCGATACCCTCATGATGATACAGGTAGATGATGACAATTTGGATGAAAAACTTAGTTTCCAAATACATAATTACTATTGACAAACATTAGCAGAAATTGAAATTCTGCAATACATAATAAATTATATCAATGGAATTGCTATGATTAAATTATTTAATGATAATTCCAATTCAACTCATCTGAACAAGATAATGACATTTATTCTTCTGTCTAATGTTCACAAAAACTTCTTAGACATGAAATGATCTATTTTTTACCCTTGTTTGATGAATATCTTCATTCAGACACATAATGATTATCTAAAAATTTGACATTTCTATCATCTATTTCAGGTGAGATTTGATTTTCACGGGGAAAGAGGACTTAACGTGTCTTTGTTGAAGACAATTACGCACTCATGTACTTTGTCTTGTCAAATCCATTATGCCATCAAACTTCTCGATTTAAATAACACAATTTTCTACTAGACTAATTAGAAGCCTAAAATGTTAAGATCAGAGTTCATGATAATAAATGCTTCATTTAATCTTTGAATATCAATGAAAATTAATTAAAAAATCTATGGAGGATATAGAATAATATCATGTTTTCTTTCGGTTATCAAGTGCAATTTAGAATGTCGTTTTTCATTTATCCAAATATATAGGAAAGCTGAGTTGCTCTCAAAAATCAAATACAAAATTTTAAAGTTAATCTTAGATAATGGTCAATAATTTTATTTCGAAAAGAAAAACATTTCTGCTTTTATTTTGGTTGAAGTTGTCCATTGACACAATTATACATTGATTCTTTATAGCATGCATGGGGATTTGATCCACATGCTTTTTCACCTTTGAGACAAAGACGACCACCATCACACCAATACATATTAGGGTCAAATCCTTGTCCATTACAAACGTTGCCTGTTGATGGTTGTGATGTTGTTGGATTAGGTCCACTTGTTGTTGAACCACCAGATGGGCAAAGGATAATTTCATAATTTGCTTTATGACATTGATAAGTACCTATACAAGAAAAATTTTAATACAAAATCAATATAAATATATTTATATATATTCACTAGCAAAATCATCAAATTGCCATGAATAAGCATCTGGACATTGAGATTTAAATACTTCATCGTAACGTGTATTTTGTGTTGATCGTGGCCATTGTTCTACATAACATTTTCTACCTGGTGTTACATTATCATGTGGTGAAACCTTTTGTTAAGAAAAAAAACAATACACATTTCATAGATCATATGATAAAAATTAAAAATCTATCTTACACAATAATTTCCATCACAGGAACAACAAACAAGTGAACGTGTGTCTGGATTATTGTAGATATTTTGTAAATGAGTATGTTTAGCACGTTGTCCAGCATTATGAATAGCAGCACAAATACTAGCACAAACTTTATGACCAGCACCATCATCCATTTGTAATTCAGGTGGACATCTGTTTGCATCAAATGTACATGTAGCTGATCCACAGTTGTATTGTCCCAATGATGGATTATTAACCATTGTATATTGACCAGGAATTGGTCGAATTGTCATACCAATTGAATGACCATCAACATTAGATAAATCATAATAATCTGATCCACCCCATCCATCTAATGTGAATTCAGCGATCGTAGCTGGTGGTTGACCACCAATACCATTACATTGTACACCAAAACCATTTATTGGAGCTCCACAGTCCCCTATTTCGAAAACAAAATAAAGATTTATTAAGACTATAAGGAGCTGTTTACCTGTTGCACATACAAGTTTTCCATTGACGGATTTACATCCAGTACGTGGCCAAATTCGTCCACTTACCTATTTATTGTTCAGTTAATACATATTTTAGATAGAAAAAAAAAATAGACATACCCATCCATCTGGAATATTAAGATCCAAAGATGAACGTATATTGACTTCAACACCACCACCATAAACTAATGGTTGACCTTGTATACCAAACCATAATTTTTGATCACAATTATTTGTGAGACGAAATGTACGTGCTGATACTGTTGTCGAAGCAACACATACAAATAAAATTGTTAACGATAACAAACGCATGCGAGATATGTATGAAAAATAATAATATTTGATATTGTTTTCGTACGAGTTTAAATAGCTTTTCAAATATGTAATTCAATCTAAAAGACAATTAATAAAGGATCAAGTAAATACGCAATTGGTAAGCACCGTTTCAGATGGACTTCATCATATAAATTAATCTTTTAATAGACAAAAAGGTACAAAATATATTTAAATCTTCTGCTCGATGCATGCAGTACGTTTCAATCTAGCAAAAGTTTTAAAGTTTTTTTATAATATGAATTAAAATATGTTGAGTGCACTTTGTATTTATGAGAGAAAGATATTATCTGAAATAAAACTGTAATCAACAGGGTGTGGGTGTGGATCTCATTTAGTCACTATACTCACACCCGCACCCCCCCCCCTCCCTTCCAAAATCCTAGATCCGCTACTGACCCACACCCTAACGCCATCTATTCAATAAAAATATCAAGTTTTAAAATTTATTCTTATTCAGTTTGATAGATCATCTCATTATATCAATGTCAAAAATTTTCTTCAATATTTCTTTTTCAAAAATAATTTTAAGAAGGTATAAATTTGTTTTTAATGGTTTATTTTCTACCCATTTACCATTCCATATTTTATGTCGAATGGATCATGTATATTTTTCACCGAATACGTCAAAACCAAAGTTCATTGATATTTTTTATACAATTTACATTTAATGTTTTTAATCAAAATATCCTAGGAAATTTTTTTCAAGCATGAACAAAGCACAGATATCTTATTTTATGTTTGAACATGGAAACAGAATTAAATACTTGTTATTCAATCATTCTTCTTAAGAGAAATATTCATCACGAGTACGAACAGATGTTTCTCTTATGCTCTATAATATTAGTAAAATCGTATATAAACATAATTGGTTTTTAGAAAATTAACCGATATACTTTATAATGATTAAAGAAGTTGTTCTATTGATTACATTCATGAACAGATAGTAAGTCTATTTTTGTTTGTTAAATTTTCTTGAATAAGTCAATTGTATTGAAAATTTTGATATGAATATATGAAAAGTTTCTAAATCAATATTCAATTTATTTTCTTGTCCTTGAAAAGTACATTTTTATGTATTTCTTTTAGATTATAGTTTTTTTTAATGCCTAAACCGAGTCGATCAGCATTTTATTTTTATGCTCTTGAATATCAACGTCGTTATCAACGTAATAATGGTAATCGAATGAGTATCAATGATGCTATAGCAGCATGTTATGATGAATGGAAATTATTATCTGATGACGAAAAACATCCATATAAAGTTTTATATGAAGAATGGCGTATACAATATCGTTTAGATCCTGAATCAGCTACGAATTCTACACAACGTTATTTACAAACAAAAAAATCTTCTAAACAAGAAAAACAAAATGAAAAAATTCTTAGTGAACGTGATATACCATGTGAAGAATTAAAGATTCATTATGATCGTTTTAGTTTAGAAAGAGATTATTTAGCATTTGAATATTTACCATTAGATATAAATGAATTATTAACAATGCCAATCTATATAATAAATTTTCAAATATTTTGTAAAATTGATGAAGAAGATGGAGGACAATATGTACCAGCTGAAATGTGTATTCTTCGTGTAAGAATTCTTTCATTATCATCCTGTTTTATTATTTTAATTTTTATGTAGTATACATTAGCTGAAGGAGCAACTATATTTCGACAAACATTTATCAAACCTGATAAAATTCCACCAGGTTATATGTCGGCATGTTTAGAACATTTAAAATCATCACATGAAATACCATTAAAAGATTTTGCTGAAGCAACAGATAATTATAAATTGATTTTTCAACAATTAAAATCGATTTTAATACCAACTGTTATTAATAAAACAAATAATGTACTTGATGATGATCGTACTCGTCGTCGATATCATCGTTTAACTCAACCATGTGTATTTTTTCCAGCTGTCGAATATGAACAAACAAGTAGATTAATAGATTGGTTACAAGAAAAAGCTGAAGGTTAAATAAAAACCAATTTTAATTTTATGTTTATTCTTTTTTTTTGCTATAGGAGTTAAACCAAATAAAGATACACGTCTCGTTAGTTTTGCAAGTATTGAATCATTAATAATGCTTTTAGTTGAATTAAAAAAACAACGTGTATCACGTGATGATATACATAAAACATTTGAAAATGCTGCTTATTCATTTATGATTGAAGAACGTTGTAATTATCATTCAAAAATAGGTATTAGTCATTGTTCAGTTGCACGTTGTTATGCATCTGCAAAACTTATATCGGCTTATTTAAATCAATTATATGTACCAGAAAGACCAGCATCAATAATGATGAGTAGTAAACGATCACAAAGTTCATTTATGATGAATTCCGATGCATCATCAGTTGCTTCAATGAATCGTCTTTCAAATCATTTACAACAATCGTCAGTAGTTAGGTAAAATATTTATTTTCTTTTTCCTTTTGATATATGAGATCACTTGAATGAGTGCCTGAAGCAATTTCAAATGGTATAGTTTTCATGCAATGAGTTTAAAATAATGTAATTCTTTTAGACCTTCAACAACATCTCAAATAATTTCAAGTCAACATTCTACAACTGGTACAAGTGATTCAATTGCTTCATGCTATCGTCCACCTGATCAACGGAAACCACAATCTCAATCAAGACCTGCATTTATTCAATCATCTAGTCGTTCATCATCAGCAAAATATCCATATCAATCTCAACAACAATCGGATCAACAAAATCAACCTGTATCGGATGAACTTATTCATCATCCAACGATCATTAAACTACAACAACAAAATTTTCATCGTTTATTATCGAGTGCTGAATCTACAACCTCTTCATTATCGGCTATTAAACAACAGCAACAACAACAAATCTTTCCAATTAATCCTGCTACAGATGATGATCAAACAACTTATTTTAGTTCAACTACAACAACAACAACAACAACAACAAATAATCCAATACAACCTTTAAAACAAATGCCTAATAATCAACGCGTTGTTTTACATCAACGTAAACAAGCATTAATGAAAGCTATTCAGAGTATTAATAAACAAATGGAAGCGTTAGATATATAGTAATGTAAAAATTGTTCAGATAGAATTTTGTTTTTTTTTTGTTATAATTTTGAACATATCTTTGTGTGTGTGTGCGTTTTTTTTTTGTATATCCTATATTATATTATTTTCTTTTTTTTGTGTGTATCTAAGTCTTTCATTGGATACTAAGATAGTAATCTTGAAGTCAAATTTGAATTGAAAAATGAAACATAGTATTGTATTTTGTTGTCTTTTAGATGGCACTTTTATTTCGCTCGTCACTTATTCAATCATTAACAAAAACAACACGACCCATGTGGATGGCTATGACATCTACTACACGTCGTAATATGTCATCACATAATAAAGAAACTGATGAAGAATTCGATGAACGATGGAAAGCTTATTTCGAACGACCAAGTATTGATGGTACGCTAATATATACAAAAAATATAATAATTTTGATTATAATCGTATTTTTTTTAGGTTGGGATATTCGTCAAGGTATAAATCATATGAATCGTCTTGATTTAATTCCTGAACCAGAAATCATATCTGCTTGTCTTCAAGCATGTCGTCGTGTTAACGATCATTCATTAGCTGTTCGTTATTTGGAAACAATTCGTTATAAATCAAACGCAATTTCAAAACAAGTATGGCCATGGATTCTTCAAGAAATTCGTCCAACATTGGATAAAATAGGTGTAGCAACACCAGAAGATCTTGGTTACGATAAACCTGAATTAGCTTTGAAATCCGTTGATGATATGTAAACACAACACAAACCATCAACCAATGAACTAAATTTTCTTTCTTTTTTTCCATCTAGTTTATGATTTATTGGTTGTACCTTTCGTTTTTTTTCTCTCCTTACAAAAAAAAGAAATAAGCACAAACTGTACCCTGTCCTGATTCTTCAACAAATAAAACTTAGATTTAAGTAAATTTCTTTCTTAACTTTAGATATGTCTTGGCCATATGGATTTCATTTAGTCGCACAATTATTTTTACCATTTCAACGTATTTTGATGTATTTTTTAACCGGTAAATCTGAATTAGAACGAATTATTGCAAATCGTACATTACCATTTGCATCACGTGTTCATCAAATTGAAAAATCAATTAATTATACAACAACAAAAAATCTTGATTATGAAATTGAACAAGTAAAACTAGATAAAAACAAATCTTTAATACATGATCAATTAAATATTGTTATACATAAATTAGAATTATATCAAAAATTAATTAGACAAATAAATGACATAAGAATGACAAAAGTAACATCAACTGATGAAAAACATCTTGAATTATTTGAAAAAATATGGGCACGTTTAGTAACTCAATCAAACGATGATCATGAACCTATGAATATGATCTCAAAACGTTGGACAAAAATTGGTTTTCAAGTATGACCAAAAAAAGTTTTATTGAAAAATATTTATTTTTTTTCCTCTTCATAGGGTTCAAATCCATTAACCGATTTTCGAGGTAAATGTTTATTCTCTTTCTCGTAAAGAAGAGTCCAGTAAACATAAATTGTCTGATTGCTTGTATGTGTCCGCAAGGTCAAAAAAACATCGAAGACCAATTTTTTAGAAAAGACATTTCTAGAGATATTTCGAATCTAATGTTAGTATTTACAATTTATATAAGCAAAAGGTCCCGTAGTATTGTAGAACACCATTTCTACGAGAAAGAGCGTTACTTGTTGAATTATATTATTTTTCTATAACACTTTCGAGTAAAAACTTGATGATGTATAATAAATTCATAGGTATGGGTTTACTTGGTCTTCAATCTATAGAATATTTATCTCGGGATAAAGAAACTTGTTTAACATGTGTTAATATTCCGCCACCCAATGATTATTCATTTGCTATTGGTGTTGTTAATATCGTTTCATGGCTTGTTAATTTACTTGAAGTTGATCCGTCCATGAAAACTAATTTTCATCCATTATTAACACATTTTTCGTTACATCCATGTAATCTTGATGAATTTTTTCAACTTTTTTTACTTATATTTAATGAATGGCATGAATTTTGGATTGATCAACAAGCAAATATTATGCAATTTGAACAGTTATCAAAAATTTTTCGTGCACAAATGCTTATTGAATGTCAACAATGGCGACCTATTCAACGAGGTTTCTCAAAAAAAATTTCTAAGTAATTCTAATCAATAGTTTTTTTTTGACGAAGACAAAAATTAATTTATTTATTTTTCTTGTTTTTTGTTTTTGTTTCCATTATTTTCAACTGTTATAAAAGTATTATCTTGACCGTGATATAAAAGATTCAGTGAACTTTTTCTGCAATAGAGAAAGATTGAAAATTTCTGCTTTATTTTATTTATTTTTTCTTGCATGACTTCTAGAAAACATTCAATAAGTCATATTATTTCAGACACAAATGTTTTTTGAATGAAATTGCACAATCATAGTACAACCTTTTTTTTTCATTCCTTTCTGTTGTTATTTTCCTTCTCACAGTTAGTTACACTGACTCATAAAAAAAATAAATATAAACTCGATTGGGGGATAAAAAACATACTCTTTCTTCTTCCTTCGAAATACACGTTACATGTCATCATTTACTATTGAAAATATCTATGGTATTGGATCGTTTCGTTTATGTGCGAGTTTTCCATCATCAATAAAATCAAATGAAACATCTGATTCATATACATATGAATCGGTATTAAATGGTTGTATTCAAATATATAATTATTCAACAAATGAACGTATTTTTTTTGAACATGTCTACGATGATATTATTGTTGTTATGCTTTATAATGAGTATATAAATGAAATTTTAACGTGTTCTTATTCGGGTAAAATTATTCTTTGGTCAAATAATTATCAAAAACGTTTTATTGAACAACAAACACGAATTGATCATGTTCATTATGGTTGTTGGACACAAGATGGGTCAACAATTTATCTTTGTTCAAGATTTGATGGTAAATTTGTTTTTTGAAATATAAAATAAATCTTACTGTTTCTTTTTTTATTAGGTACACTTATTTCACTGACATATGATTCTCATCATCATTCATTAACTGAAAATTGGCTTCGTCATTGGGCAACACCAAGAAATGATTTAGAAAAAATTCATCCAGCTATAGAAGATTCTATATCTCCAATAAATATAGCTGAAAAAATTGAAACATCAAGTACATATGTTGCTGGTTCGATTGGTTATGAATTTGTTATCTGTACAGCTATACGTCGTCATTTATTTGCAATACTTCAACGACCACATGAACATGTTCATATACATAAACTTAATTTACATGATGGTCATTTAATCGATGATCTTAAATTAGATCATGCAAGAACAAATCAAACATTTCTATGTGGTACAGTTAAAACATATCATGATAAAAATACTGGCAAAGAATATTTTGCTATTGGACTTCAATCTGGTTTAATTTTTATTATTGATACAGATCCATTACAAATTCATTCAATAATAAATGGTAAAAATAAAAATTTATATAGAATATTCTATTTCTTTTTCATCTAGCTACTGGAACTCCACAAGCAATTATCTGGTGGAATTCTTATTTATTAACTATTGGTTATATATCATCAATAATAAATGTTTATTCATTAGATGGTTCATTCATTGCTTCCTGTAACGATGCACCAGCAACAGCTGTTTGTCATTTACAATGGAATTCCGATGAACAAGATCTATTATGGATAGGTGGTTATATGGGCTTGACACTTGTACGTCTTGAATTATGTCTTAGTCGTCCACCGTCACCAGATGGAAGAGTTATGTTTACAATATTGAATACAAGCGTTGATGAAACATTATCATCGATATCTTTAACAACATTATTACATCGAACATTACATGAAACAGCTGGTTGTGGTTTATATACAGAAAATAATGAAATTTTATCTGGTGATTTATCAGGAAATATATTTCAATGGGCAATTAATGATGCAAAACCAAAACAACATATTCAAATTCCTGATAGTGTTCGATGTTTTATTTCAAAAAATCTTGTTGGAACATTATCTGGTGCACTTTATAATATCGATAATCAAGAAATAATCGAAGATTTTAAAACTACAATTATATGTTCAGTATGGAATACAAATAAAACATCTTGTTTAGTTGGTCTTGGTAATGGAACATTAATAAATTTACAAACAAAAAAAATTATTGGTTTACATGAAAATAATGCAGAAATATGGAGTGTTTGTTTAAGTCCCAATGAAGAATTATGTGCAACGGCTTCAGAAGATCAAACAACATGTATATGGAAAGTTGATCAAGAACAAGAACTAGTTGCTACACTTACAGGACATACAACAGCAGTTACAGGTGTTCAATGGAAATCGGAACGAATTTATACATGTGCTGATGATCGTACAGTACGAGTATATAATACTCAATCAAATCTATATAATTGTTTATATGTACTTCATACACCAAAATCTTTATTTGGATGGTTTACATTAACATATTTACAAGTTGATGAAGATCAAAAATTAATTATTTGTACAACACAAAATGGTTATTTAGTTATATGGCGTGATGAAGAAAATAGTTTACCAATTCTTTGTAAAAAAATTCATTTTGGAAGTTTAGAAGGTTTAACATATGATAAAGATATTCATCGTATAGTTACGATTAGTAGTGATTGTACTGTAACATCACTTCGTTTACATATTGCTTAATATTGTTTTTATATATTGTACTTTAAACATGATATTTTTTTTTTGTTTGTTTCTAAAAGTTAATTTCTCATATTTTTCAGATAGAAAATATAAATCCTAAGTATAGCGCAATATGTCCGGACGAAATAAAACATCAGAACGTGAAAAAAATGAAAAAATTCGTCAATTACGAGAAGTAATGGGTGTTTCTGAGCAACAAGCCCGAAATGCACTACAATCAAATGATTGGGTCGTTGAACGTGCTATAGGTGCTTTTTGTGAAGAATCATCTTCGTATTCTTCAGCTGGTGGTAGTTCACATCATTCATCACATCATAGTCAAACATCAACATCAAGATTTGATCGCAAAAAAATCGAACAATTATGGACAACTTATGCTGATCCACGTGATACATCAAAAATGAATTTAGAACAATTATTACGTTTTATAACTGATTTAAAATTTGATCCAAGTGATAGAGAAATCCTTATACTATGTTGGAAAATGAATGCATCGAAACAAGGAGAATTACAACGTAATGAATTTTTACATGGTTGTCAAGATTTACAATGTGATACATTAGAAAAACTACAAGATAGAATTAAACAACTCAATAAAGAAATTGAAAATGATAATGAAAAATTTAAACAATTATATATATATACATTTAATTTTGCACGTTCATCGACATCAATGAAAAATCTTGATGTACAACCAGGTATAGAAATTTTACATAGATTTTAATATTTAATTATCATGTCAACGCTAACTTATCAGACAGATTTAGAATAAGAAATGCACCGAAGTTAAACCAATTAAAATAAATGATATTTAACCATTAAATTAAATAAAAGATTAGATTTAATACAAAAGATTCTAACGAGATGGAATAATTAGTTCATCTTGCATATCTTTATTCATAATGAATCAGTGACTGGATATTTAATAAATAAAATTATTTATCAGACAATATTTCATTATAATTATAAAAAGTCATTCGAAATATTGTAATGTTCAAACTGAATTAACATATATTTTTTAGAAACAGATCAATATTCATTTTAGCGTAAAATCTTCTTGATTTTCTTTTTTTTGTCTGATTAGAAAAATTTCCATAAAATGAAAAAAGTGATGATGCTTCGTATCTCAGTCTTTCAATTTTCATATAACGTCATATCCGGTCAAAAGAACATTTTATGCTACCTTCATTTTTTCTTCAAACGGAAAAATTGCGTATACAAAGTATTTCTTTACAAGAATATAGTATTTCAAAAAGAAATAATAGTCTTGTTAAGCGTGCTTAACATATCAACTAGCTGTATATGAGTATTATTTTTTAACAAAGAATTTATATAACATCATGAATTATTACTTAAATCATATAATAAGTGAAAATAAATTGTACTTAATAGTAGTATTTCAATCCTACTTACTAGATTTTACAAAAAAAGATATATGATTGACTTTTATTATATTGTTTTAATAGCAATTAATAATATTGAGTGTTACTTCATACAATTCTGACAAGATTTAGATATTATATTTTTATGTGTAAAAATAAAATGGATTATATTATTTTTCGTACTCATTGATACATTTGACTAATGACGTTACATATAAATACCTGACGTCATTAAACAAAATTTACTAATTACTTTAAGTTTCAAGAACTACATACTTATGAAATTTGATAGTATAGATCATCTTCAATCTTTTGCGAAGACTATTTTACTCAGTATATCTTGACCACTTATGCGTAATAAGATCGAAAAATCTTTTGACTCATTATTTTCAATTAAAGTACTCTGTATGAATCAATTTTACAAATATATACATTGTAAATGATCGTGTTCAAAGTTAAAAAAATGTAAAAAATGAGATTATTTACTTTCACTAATAAAAGAAATCTGATTCCACCTTCATTTAATAGAATCATGTAGACAAGAAAATTTATTATTGATCGAAATAATATGAAATGTTTAATTATTAATGATTTATTTTTCTTTTCCATTTAGCTATAGCTTATTGGAAAATGTTATTTACTGGAAATCCAAATAATAAACAATCACAAAGATTTAAATTACTTGATTTATGGCTTAAATTTCTTGAAGAACGTTCAAATCAACGATCAATTACAAAAGATACATGGGATTTATTACATGATTTTTCAACATCAATAAAACCAGATTTTTCAAATTATGATCATGATGGTGCTTGGCCAACGTATGTGTTTAATTAAAAGTACACATATATTTATTTTATTTTGGTGTTTTTTTTCTATTTTAGATTAATTGATGATTTTGTTGAATTTGCTAAAACAGCACAAACTCAGTCATCTTCTGTTAATGTTTAATTTTCTATTTTTAAATAAAGAAAAAAAATAAACCAGTGATTATTTCCTTCTAGACATAACTCAACAAAGATTCGTCATTGATTCTTTGTTAATTTAACCTTGTCTTCTTTCTTTTTTTTCTTTTTTTTTTCTAAAAAATTCATATATTGGCTAAAACTTTTTCTTTTTTTCGATGGTCGTCGATGTCTATGTATGTGTGCGTGTGTGTGTATTTTTTTATACTCAAGATGGAAGTAAAACATAGGACAATAAGGTCTCTTGTATTTTGATTACTTTTACAGCAACTATATTTTAGATATTCTTAATGCATGATTATATGCGCGCACGTTCGTCATTAACAAATTGTATTTATGACAAGGAAATTGTTTGCACAAAAGCGTATGTTGTTCAAATAATTGCTGCATGTATGTTTGAGAGTTCTTACAAGATAGTTGGTGATAATTTCCTTTTTACTTTTCTTTAACTTAATATGATCATCTTAGAAACAAAAACATTTTCTTTTTTTCTATTTCAAATTTTCAAGCACATGTCCTTGTGCACAGTATATAGCGCATATATATAATAATAATTGTTTTTTTGTATATATGGAATGGCCAATTTTATTGTATTTGGGCACAACATGATAGACAGTCACTTAAGCAGTAGAGAAAGCGATGATAAACAATAAAATAATGAAACAGGGAGATAAATATACGATGTTTGCAGAAAAAAATTGTCATTTTGGAATCGTTTTGATGATCACTGGAATAAGAGAAAGCTTATCTACAGAGAAGAAAAAAAAAAGAAAAGAATAAAATATAAAATAAATCTTAATATGTACTAAAGAAAAAAAATATCTTCTATAGTGTTATATAAACGTACACAACTATTCATTGTCGAGTCGTTCATGAAATTCATCGAATGTTATTGATTTGTCACCATTTACATCGAAGAAATTAAATAGTTGTCTATCTTGAGGATTTAATCGTCTTTCTGGTTGAGATCGGCCAAAACGTGGTCGACCAATGATAGCGTAATATTCATGGACCTTAAAAAAATATTTAGTTAATTGAATAATAGTAAATAACGATATTTAGAAACATACGAGTTGTAAATACCGCTTAAGCTCTTCTCGAGAGTGAAACCGTTCTGGTCGTGTTGGTGGAGCTAGAGAAAATAAGAAATATCTCCCTAATCTCAAAATTTGAATAGAACTTACGAGGCACATCAGTGAAGACTGAGAGTATTCCAGCCATTTGAATAGCAATCACAATAAACATAATCCATGATACTCGACTAGTCATATTGTTCGTGAATAACATTCTGATTGTTGTGTATAGTATGAATTTTCTGAATAAAATAGATGCAATTTAACGAATAGGATTTATTACAAAGAAGAATAATAATTTTTCTAGTGACGTCAGGAACTGAAAGAGAAAGAATTAGAATATGAAAAACTGTTTCTTATCTAAGAGAAAGTGTAAAGAAAAAAGCAAGCAAGCAAGCAGTTAATTTTTAACATCGATGTAAGAAGAAGAAGAAAAAAAACAGGAAAATAATAAATTATTATGCATGTATAAGTTGTTTCTTGTTAAGGACTATTAAAATTTCTTTTTCTCTCTTCTAATTAATGACTACGCGTGACGTTTAAAACGATTATATTTACCCGAAAGAGATATATAGGCTCAATTTAACTAGATGGTTTAAATGTATATATATCTATCTATTTCATGGAAGAAAAGAATCTGTTTTTTAGATGCTAATCCAGAGATGCAGAATCTTCTTCAAGCGCCCCCGCGCGGGAAGAGAGAAATTTTTTTAAAAACTGCATTTTTCGGGGAATTTCTTTAGAAAAAATTTGGGAAGATTCTGCACCTCTGTACTAATCATAAATTCTATATTTTTTTTTGTCATATTGACTTTTATTCTTAAGAATGTATTTAAACTCATTAATAGGCATACAATCTCGTGTTTTAATAAGAATTAAAAATAAAATATCAGCGGGTGAACGTTTTCACTTAGATTTTATTATTTCTATCACGTTATTTGTATATACGAATGAACAAATATAGATGAATCTACTATTGTTAAAATGTTGTGTGATTAATGGATCACTAAGTAAACTAATTTTCCATAGACTATAGTATAGTTATGTTTAAATAGGAATCACGATATTTATTATACCTTCTAATAACGTGCATGACTTTTCTGCTAATGAGCAAATACTTTGATATATAGCGGATATTTGATTTCCATTATAATGCTTGGAAAGAATGGAGGTTTTTCCTGATGATCAATTTAGATCACCAGAACTATTTATATGCCTTTAGGCTAGTTCAAATATAAAATATTTTCTAATAGGTTTTTAAAGATCTTATATTTCTAAATAATAAAAATAAATGTTCTTAATTGAACTATTTAATATTCATTGTAGAAACTTTACACATGAATGAATAAAACTAACGAAGATACATTTTTGTTGATATGATAGTTTGTTCTTAACTCAATCTTACATGTAATTGTATTTAATATATTTCTTGATAAAAATTAACAATACAATTGAATATAAAACAAACAAAAGAAAGGAGAATGACTTGTATATCAATCAATGTACTATAGAATTTCCAGAAAAAAGAAACAATTCATAATTAATTTACCTATAATTTCTAGATAAAAAATGTCTTCTATTCCCTTAAGAAATATTCGGCCTATTTTATCATATTATCAACATATCCGTTTTTTTCAACAACCACAACGATATACAGTGACTGTCACTGATGAATATCGTCCATCAACAAAATCTCGTTCATCAATTAAAGGTGTTGAATTACTTCGAAATCCAGCCTTGAATAAAGTAATTAAAAAAAATATAATCATAAAAAAAAACCATTTTTTTTAAAATCAGGGTATGGCATTTACGCTTGAAGAAAGACAACATATGGGTATACATGGTCTCTTGCCGCCTGCTGTTGTTTCTCAAGATATTCAAGCACTTCGTGTTATGATTAATTTTCATCGAATGAATAGTAAATAAATATAAATCGAATAATTACTTATTTTATATTAATTGATGATTTCCATTAGATGATCTGGATAGATATTCTGAATTAATGAATCTGTCGGATAGAAATGAAAAATTATTTTATCGAGTAATTGCCGGTAAATAAATAAATAAACGACTTATTAATTATTAATCTAAATATTTTTTATTCATAAAAGATAATCTCGAAGAACTTATACCAATTGTTTATACACCAACAGGTAGAAATTCTGGATATGAATAATCAATTTGTATTCATTTCTTTTTTTAGTTGGTCTTGCATGTCAAAAATATGGTTTAGTATTTAAACGACCAAGAGGTTTATTTATTACAATACATGATAAAGGTCATATCTACGATATATTAACCAATTGGACTGAACAACATGTGAAAGCCATTGTAGTAACTGATGGTGAACGTATTTTAGGTTTAGGTGATTTAGGCGCTTTTGGTATGGGTATACCAGTTGGAAAACTACAATTATATACTGGTAAAGAATTATTTTCTGTATTTATAAATCCTCTATATATTTATTTTTAGCTATTGCTGGTATTCCACCACAAGATTGTTTACCAATTATGCTTGATGTTGGAACAAATAATGAAGTATATAATATAGGAGAAATTCTTTTTCTTGAATTATTAATTGTTTTTTTTTCCTTCAAGGAAATATCATCCAATCCACTTTATATTGGATTAAGACAAAAGAGAGTTACTGGTAAAGAATATGATGAATTTATTGATGAATTTATGGAAGCTGTTGTACAACGGTAAATTTTTCGAAATAATTAATTTATTTATCAAATAAATATATGTTTTAGTTTTGGATGGAATTGTCTTATACAATTTGAAGATTTTGCTAGTCAAAATGCATATCGATTACTTGAACGTTATCAAAAAGAATATTGTACATTCAATGATGACATCCAAGGTTTACTGATCTTCTATAGAAATTTTATAATTGTATGTTAAATATTTGATCTATTTATTTTTCAGGAACAGCTGCAGTTGTACTCGCTGGTCTATTTGGAGCACTTCGTATCACGGGTAAAAAATTAATTGACAATACATTTCTTTTTGTCGGGGCTGGTCAAGTATGTCTTGAGATAATTAACTTTTCTTTGATAAAAATAATTCTATTCAATTTAGGCTGCATGTGGTATTGCAGATTTAGTAACACATGCAATGATACGTGAAGGTGCTTCACCGGAAGAAGCAAGAAGTAAAGTGTGGATGTATGATGTTCACGGTCTTATAGTTGATGTAAGTTTGTTTTGTTATATATATTTAATTTACCATATGCATGTTTTTTAATAACTAAGTCCCACTAATATTTTAGGGTGCAGTTAAAGTAAGGACTTGCTAGATTATTAGTTTGCTTTTCTTCACTTAAGGTGTTGGAAATTATTTTAGTCAATAATTTTGAATATATTTTTTGATAATTTAGGGTCGTCCACAAGGAGATTTAGAAGGACCTAAAGCTCCTTATGTCAAGAAGGGTAAACCAATAAAAGATCTTACCGCAGTAGTAGATTATGTTAAACCAACTGTCCTTCTCGGTATATACATTTTATTGAATAAAAAAAACAAAAGATAAAAAATATTTTTTCCTTTAGGTGCAAGTGGAGTCGCACGTTTATTTCATGAAGCTGTTTTGAAAAAGATGGCTATAATTAATGAACGTCCTGTCATCTTTGCTTTGTAAATTTTAATAATTAATTCAATTTCTTTTCCTAGACATTTGTTCTTTAAATAGATCAAATCCTACAAGTCGTGCTGAATGTACTGCTGAAGAAGCTTATCGTGAAACTGATGTAATCATTCTTAATTAATATTCTAAAAAAAGTATATTCTGATTTATTTAGGGAAGATGTATCTTTGCATCTGGTAGTCCATTTAAACCTGTTGTGTATAAAGATAAGACATTTCATCCAGGTAGATATTTAGTTTTATATTAATACATTAAATGTATATTCATATGATTTGAATAGGACAAGGAAATAATGCATATATATTTCCAGCTGTTGCTTTGGCTACTGTTGCTTGTGCAGCTCGACATGTTGAAGAAGATATGTTTTTAATAGCAGCACAGGTAAAATAACGAGTTTTCACTATTTTTTCGTAATCTAGTTGAATTCTAAATGAAAAAGAAAGTTAGAAGCATACGATATGTATAATGAAGTTATATTCCAAAGATATGATACAATTTTTGATGAACATCATTATCGAGGTTGATGTTAAAGCTGTTCTTCCTGTTTGTCAATACACCTGATAGATCCATTAGTATACATTAAATGTAATCAATAGGTAAATGACTTCCGTTTACGGAAATATACTTCGTCCCATATAATATCCTACGTATCCGGTAGACATAAAAGAAAAATATATCAATCTAAATGATTATTGTAATATTTATATTGTTTTCTTTAATTCGAGTAGAAATCATTTCGATTATTAAAATGAAATGTAGTGAAAATGTGTACGTCTTTTATCTATTTTTATAAACGTTGAGATGAACCGATGACTTCTATTTAAATGTTTTTGAAATCTGCTTAAAAAAAGAAATAGATCAATTTTCATTTCTACGAAATATATATGTAATTTTTATTTTCATAGAAACTTGGTGAATTAGTCAGTCAAGAAGATTTAGATGAAGGTCGTGTTTATCCACCTGTGCCAGCAATACATGAAGTAACAGTTAAAATAGCTACACATTTAGCTGAACATCTTTATCAAACTAAAAAAGCTTGGAATTATCCTGGTAAAACTAAATTATTCTCTTTATTTTTACTTATAATCATATTCTATGAAAATATTTAGAACCTCAAAATAAAGAAGAATTTATTCGTATGCAGTTATATGATACATCTTATGAATATTTTGGTCCTAAAACATGGAACTGGCCTGAACAACATAGTTCATCACGAACTGTTCAGTCGATGGATGAAAATATAATTCTTGATTCATAATTATTATCACTATCTAATCTAATATTTTTAATAGAATTGTATTTTTGTTGTAAAAAAAACCGAAATTTTATTGATTGTGTCTCTGTAGTGCAATGTATTTTATGACAATAATACCATTGATTTCAGTAAAAGAATGACCTTAATAAAATCAAAAGCTACGTGAAAAAATTCATATGTTCATATTTTCACCTATGAAAAATGAACATCATGTATTTTTGAAATATGGGCCCTGTTCAACACTCAAATACATTGTGAAATTTTGCCTTACCGATATGAAAAGTAACCATTAGTATAGTGGCGGATTTAGGGGGCGATGGGGATGATCGCGCCCCCCTCCCTTCCGAATTCTTTTTTGATTTTTTACAGTAAAGATGAACGAAAAAATAAGTTCACACTACTTCGATTGGACTCAAAAAATAGCTTTTAGCCAAAATCGTCCCCCCCCCTTTCAATATTCTAGATCCGCCACTGCATTAGTACAATTCAGTGCTTGTCTAGTGTAACTTCTGATTGATACATAATAGATCTTTTTTCATTTCTATGGATATATCTTGTAACTCATGATAAACATACTATGACTTTAAATCATAAATCAATCTTTTTGAATAATAATTCTCCATGAATCAGTTCATTTGTCTATACAAATAAATATATAGTATGGCCTATGAATTTCAATTTATTGTTGCTATGAAATTGTTTTAACTATTAAAGTATAATAAGAAAATGAAAAGAACCATGATAGAAGATTATTATCATTAAATAAAACAAACTACTAAAACTAAATGTATATATATCAATTACTGATGTTTTTCTTCACAAAGAATATAAAAAACGTTTTATAAACATATTATATTCATTCTCTTTAAATAATCAGAAAGCAAGGAAATAAATATTGAAAAAAACAAAAAAACAAACAAATGTTTGAACTCTAAGTTATCACAAAGAAAAGGAGTAGGGTCAATCAATAAGAACATACATTGATTATAAAAAAAAAAGTATAACAGTTTCCTATGGTAGTCTAGTCGTCATAAAACATATAATCTGATCAAATTGATGAGGTAAAACAAAAGTCGAAATTAGAATTCTGTTATTGTTTGAGTTATTTGCGAACATAATCGTTGTAAATCTTGAGATTTAGTAGCAAGTGTTTGATTAAAATCATTTGTTTTAGTTTCAAATAAATCTCGTAGACGAATTAATTGTTCAGCATTTCGATTTGGTGAACGTGATAATGTACCATGACCACTTGTATATGAACCTTGTGGTGTACGTCTTTGAATTGTTGATATTTCACTACGAAGTCTTTGATTATCATCTTCATTTGACTAAAATTTTTATATGAAAATAAATAAGTTAATAAATATTATTTTAACATACAGATAAACGATCTTCTAAAGTATTTATTTGAGTTATATAACGTTGAATTTGATTTTCAAGTTGAAGAATTTTCTATACAAAAAAAACATTAGAATGAAAATAATTAAACGAAGAAAATAAAATACTTGTTCTTGTTCTTGATTACGTTGATCAGCACCATCAAGAAGACTTTTTAATTCTTGTGCTTCATTGATTTGTCCATCATTTGATGAATGATGATTTGATACCTTGAAATATATTATTATAGAATACGATTAATTCATGCTCTTTTCGAATCAAGTCAAAGTTTATAACAAGCGTATAACTACCTTAAAGTATCAATTTACGTTTTGTTTTTTTAATCGAAATGGATTTTATCTCTTTTTTTCTGTATGCAGAAATGTTTTTACTAATCTGATGAATAGGTATGAAAGTTTCTATAAATATTTTTTTAATTTTACCATTTGTCGAAGACGAGTACATTCATCTCGATAAAATTGTAATTGTCTTTTCCATTCTTCAACATTGGCATGACTTTCTTGTAATGCTGTAGTTAATTTTGCATTATTATTACGTAATATTTCTAATTCTTCTTGCCATTTTTTAGCATTATTTGAACTAAAATATATTTTTGTTTTGTTATACACTCATATATTATCTGTACCTTTGAGCAAGTGCAATTTTAAGATGAGCATTTTCTTGTTTAAGTTGAGTCTGTACTAAAGGATCTAATCCACCTGAATGAATGGACCAATCACCTTCCGACTTTGAGAAAGAAAAAAAAGAAAATCCGATGTATTTAAGACGAAAAATAAATTGAATTATACTCGAGGTGTTTGTCGAGCATCGACACTACTACTTCGATGTTCATTATGTTTAAGTGCTTGACGTGTAGCATCTTTCACTTCAATAAATTTATCCATAAACTAAATAATAAACGAAAAAAAAAATATTTCATTTTATATGTACTAAATAATTTACTCGTGTTAAATCATTTTCATTAGCAAATCCTAAACCATAAACATGATTAGCTCGTGAATCAACCCATTGACAAAATTTTTGTGATGTTTTTGTAAAACTCATTCGAGCAGTAACAATTGTATTAATCAATACTTTCGAACCATCAACAGATAAAATACGATAAACATTCTTGACTGAATCATGAAATATTTGTACATTTACTAAAAGAATTCTTTATTAAATATTTCCTCTTGTTTTCGTTTTCACATACCAGCACTGCTTGATAATGGTACCCAAGATTTTCGAGTATCAGGATCAACTTGAAATATATGAGCTTTACATGAAAATAATGGTAATTGTTCTCTAAGAATATAAAATAAAAATCAAATATTTTTGTTTTATAATTTTCATTAACATTCTGTGTTACCCCATGTTTGTATCAAGATGCATATCGTCTTTTTATAATCATAAAAAAAAAGAAGAAAGATTAATGTAGTAAAGAAAAAGAATACTTTCGAATAAAAAAAAAAAGGTATAGTATATAGGTTATAGGGCAGCCTTTTCTTTTGTAACGTATTCGATACAAAAATAAACAATAGTTAAAGCAGGTAAGAACAGAAAGGAAAAAAAAGGGAAGAGAAGAAAAGAGAGAAATTTAATCTTGAGTAGACTGAACTGTACAATCGTTTCTTCCATAGTTTATTGTTGACATACATTTTCGTTTGGAAGAATAGGTTGAACGAAATAAGATTTGAAACTAATGACATCTATTGATTGTTTTATATATATATTGCAAGAAGAAATCAAATTATTGAATTATAAGAGTTGCTTTTTATAAGTGGATAAATTTTGCCTAGGGGTATAAATTCACGCCTTCTAAACTTAAAAATATCAGCATATCAAGACAATCCAAAACAGCAGAGAATAAAAATCTACAATTTTAAACTTGATTCATTCTTATTTCACATTATCGCTAAGAAATCGTATTACTTGTCAAGAGAGAGAATCTTATATTTCGTGAAACGACTATATAAGATGTAAAACTTTTGCAAAGAATTGATTTTAGTGTTTAGTTTCATCTTTATCAACATAGATGAATTCTCTTATCGTAATATATATGGTTTTACAGGCTAACTTTATATTTCAAAAGAATAATGAATTATAAATAAAAAGAAATTTCAAATGTTTCTTACAAATCAGTATAATATTCAATCATAGATATACAGGTATAAGAAAACATATAAACCTGCATGACTCTTTAGAATAAAAGATCTCTTACTTCTCTTGTAGATATTGCAATCCGCCAATAAAAGAACTATTATGTATTCTTCTGAATGTATATCGCTTAAAAACCTATGTGTGATTTGTCATTATTTGAAAAAAGATAAGATGGTATAAATTTCTTACGCCCTCTATTTTCCATGGTATTATCATTCGTTGTATTGTATTTCACCAATCAAAACTCATTCACGATTGGACGATATAAGAATAAGAAGAAAATTTGTCAATTTTTTCTTCTATTTAACCGTTTACGTCTTGTTCTTCTGAAATTATAGTTTAAATGCACTTGATTTTTAGATCTTATATTTCTCTTTATCATTATGTCGTCTGTACCGGTTGCTGAAAGAAATCAAGATGCAACGATATATGTTGGTGGTCTTGATGAACGTGTTAATGAAACTATTCTCTGGGAATTATTTGTTCAGGCAGGTCCTGTTGGTAAGTTTTAATAATTAAATATAAGTATATGTATATGATTTCTAATTTTTCATCTATTTCATAGTTAATGTCCATCAACCAAAAGATCGTGTAACAATAAATCATCAGGGTTATGGTTTTGTTGAATTTTTAACTGAAGAAGATGCAGATTATGCTATTAAAATAATGAATATGATCAAACTCTATGGGAAACCAATACGTGTTAATAAAGTAGGATAAAAATCTTAGCTTTTTCTTCTCTTTACAATATTTATTCATTCAAATTTTCTTCTAGGCATCAGCGCATCAAAAAAATCTTGATGTCGGTGCAAATCTATTTATTGGAAATCTTGATCCAGAAGTTGATGAAAAACTATTATACGATACGTTTTCTGCATTTGGTGTTATTCTTCAAACACCAAAAGTAAGTTTAGATTTATATTTCTAATAAAAACAAAAAAAACTATATGTCATAAAAATTTATTTTAGATTATGCGTGATCCTGATTCGGGCAATTCCAAAGGATATGCTTTTATTAATTTTGCTAATTTTGATGGTTCAGACACAGCTTTAGAAGCAATGAATGGACAATATTTATGTAATCGACCTATTACAGTTTCCTATGCATTTAAAAAAGAATCGAAAGGTGAACGACATGGTTCAGCAGCTGAACGATTACTCGCTGCTCAAAATCCACTATCACATTCAGATAAACCACATACATTGTACGTATTTTTTATTTAGAAAAAAATTCTATCTAATATTATTTTCTTTCGAAATTTCTAGATTTGCTGATCAACCACAATTTGCACCTGCACCACCAGTTCCTCCACCAGTCAATCCATTCCCTATGACATCATGGTTACCATACGGTGCACTCGGTGGTCTACCTATTCCACCTGGTTTACCAGGTCTTCCACCACCACCACCACCATTTGCAATGGTATATTATATGAGAATTATTGATTTATAAGATATTGTATGTAATTCTTTTATTTTTAGCAAATGCCTCGACCACCACCAATGGCTCCAACACCCACATCATCAGCCCCATTTGTAAATTCTATTTATCTCAATCATAAAAAATTCTCAATAATTTTCTTTTTGATTTTAGCGACCACCTCCACCACCGCCACCAAATCGACCACCACCACCTCCTCCACCAATGATGCAATAAACATTGTTTCTTGTTTTTCTTTCGTTATGTATTCAAATAAATGTTCTTTTTGTTTTTGTTTTTTTTGTCTGAAATAAAAAAACGAATGATCTGTGTTTATTTCTCTTAGAAAAAAAAAAGAATACATCTTCTATTGAAGATCATGATTTCTAATCGATTTCGTTCATTGTTATTATTAAACAAAACATATTCTTATTCTAAACGATGGACTATTTCAACAGCTACTAAACTTTCTGATACGGATATTCGTATAAGTAAAAAACCAATAAAAAAATCTATGTATGCATATAAACGTTCACAAACAACATATTATGATTGGATAGAAGCTGTTAATCGTGTTGAACTTAATCATACTAATTTTCATCGTCCATTAATTATTCGATCATCAGTTAGACAAATTCTTCGTTATATGCATGATGGTTATATTGATAACGAACAATGGACAGCATTTCGTGATTATCTTGTTAAAAAAGATATTGGTGTATCACGTTTATTTGATGGCATATTCCTTCATGAATGTATTGGTTATCAACGTTTTTTAATGGCTTTATCATATATTAGTTATTTACAATCGGAAAATATTTCATTAACACCAACAAGTTTAGCTATGTTACTTTTATTAGCACGTGAAATTGATATTCGAAAAGATTTTAGTGAGTATCGTTTAAATGAACAAATTTTATTAAATGCTTATCAAGAATTTTTATCACATAATATTCTTCCTGATTCAATGCTTGCTTTACCAATTATAGCTGGTTTAACATTAACATCACAATGGAAAGAAGCATTAAAATATTTACCTATACTTGATAATGATCTTGATGGTATGCAACAAGCATTAGGTTTTGTTTTAACAGCAGCAGCAAAATTTCATGATTATACATTTTTCTTTTCACTTCTTGATACGATTTCACAAACAGAATCAATTCGTTTAACGGAAGAACGTCAACGAATACGATTAATTAGTGATAGTGATAGAATAGCTTTAGATAATAAACAAAAAGTTACACTTGATCAAAAACTTAAACGACCAATAGCACCATCAAGAATTAAAGAAAGTGATTATTATTTAATAGCAAAAACATCACAAACTTATGAAACATTTACAGATTATTTAACTGGAGAAAAAACGAAACAAATTGAAACTTTAATTAAATTACTGGAGAAAACTGCAAGTAATGGTTATATACCACCAATATCATTTATAAAAGCATTAGAAAGAAAATTAAATGAGTATGTATTTTCTTTTTAAATTATACTAATTTTCTTTGTTATATAGACTTGATTCAACTCGATTTAAATGTGAATACATTCAGTTTTATCCAAAGTAGATAATTCATATTTATATATTAATAATTTCCTTTATTGTTAGTGGTACGTCTCTTGATAATAAATCAGTATTACCTTCTATGGAACCAACTGATCAAGAATGTCAAATTATACATTCATTTGTTCGAGATAATTTTCAATCATTACTAGAATCTAATTGTCCGAAAGTATGGCGTTTTCAAATAATCTTCTATTTCTAAATTGTTGTTTTAATAGCTTGCAGAAGATCCATCTAAATTATTAAATCAACTCTCTAATCCATTCGATGTTCTTTTCGATTGTCTACATTATCCACCACTTGAATTAGATTGGCGCACACGTCATCCATTATATGTATGTATAAAAATAGCTTCTAAATAATAAAACTATAAACCAATATTTTAGATTAAACGTGTTCTTTATCAAATAGCTGATGAAAAAGGTAAACGATGTTTAGTTATCGCGAAAATTGATCTGGCTGATTATATTGATTCACTGCGAATGCCTGCTGATCTTGTATCTGTTGTTCGTGTACCTTACGAGTATTAATTTTCTATATATTTATATTTTATTTAACTCTTTTTTTTGTAATGAAAGATCTATTAAAAGTCCGTTACCAGTGTTATCAACGTTATATCATAATCCAAAAACATTACTTGCTAGTCCAATTGATCAACGAATATATAAAACTTTATTAGGTTTAAATAATACCGATGTATTTCATCGTTGGATACAAACACATCAATTAATTCCAGTCACTAAACCAGATTTAGTATATCTTCAAGTAAGAATTCGAGATATATGATTATGAAATGAACTATTCTTTTTCTCTAGGCTCCATGTTTATATGCAACACGTGTTCATGTTAATACTAATGAATGGCTGGTACCTTATTTTGATGGATCACCATTAACTGAATCTGAAAATGTTCAAACATGGTTTCGTGTTCAAATAAATAATAATTAAAAGATCTTTAGGATATTATTTTGTTTTTGATAAACATCTTCTTGTTCGTTTTTTCGTCTTCTAGATGTTATCTTATTATCCTCGTCGTTTATTTTTAAATTTATATCGACAAATAATCTCAATACATTCTATTAAATCATTAGAAAATATACAAATTCGTCATTTAAATTTAACTGATCAAACTAAACGAAAGATTCTCTTAAGAATCAATACAGCACTTAATGAAAATGAGAATGAAACTAATACTGATTCACATACTTCTAATATAGCTTGTTTAAATAATGAATTAATTCTATCTGAACGTATGATAAAATTTCCATTTCATTATCGATGTATACTTGAACAACAACTATCAATATGTCAAGATCGTTGGGTAACAGCTAATGAATGGAAACAATTATATGATATTGTTGGTGAAACAACAAAACCTTTATTTGCTTCAATAACAATGCTTATTTGTGTACAATTGAAACATATTGAACGTGGTCGATCTTTATTTCAATTTATTCAACAAAACCATCCTGATTTATTAACATCAACTGCAACAACTTATTCAACTTATATGAATTTACTAGCTTTAGATTTTTTTATTTCATCTGGAAAAAAACATGAACAAGATTATTCACCATATGAAGACGAATTATGTGAAATCTATCAAAAATTTGTTAAAGATAAAAAACCGGTTATCATAGCATCAGCAGCTGCATTAGGAATAATTAAAGGTTTATGTGTAACTCATCTTTGGCGTGAAGCATATACTTATTTACCATTTGTTAATGATGATGATCAACTACAAGCTATACGAGAGTATGTTATTAAGAAAAAATTTCTTTTTTTAATAATGAATATAAATAGTTTTGTCTATTTCAAGTCTTATTCTTGCTGCTTTACATAATAATGATATTGATGCAGCAATAAAATTACTTCAAAATCTAAAAACTCCACCACCTAGTGATAGTGCTGCTGCAACAATGTCAAGTACTTTAACTGATATTATACGAGATATATTTAGAAATTTAGATGAAAATAATAAAAATGCTTATGAATTTATTGAACATTTATTTCATTATTTATCGACATTAGATTATTTTATTGAAAAATCAGCTACCGATGAAATACAAACATTTTTCGATAAGTTAGTTCCAAATATATATGGTTATGGTACAACACTTGTATATCCAAGGTAAAATGATAAGAATAGTTTTGTTTTATTACAACTATTGTCTATTTAGTGGTGCTTGTAAACAATTGCCTGGTTTTAATTTATCAAATGGTGAATTAACTGATGATGATTTCAATTTCTTACGAAATTATCTTATGGAAAATGCTTATACAGAAAAGGAAGTTTTTAATGTAAATTTTAGCTAAACATTTAGATTAGAATAGATATAATTTTTTGATATTTTATTAAGACTACAACACCAGCTGAATTTGAAAGATTTAAAGTACTTCTTGCTCGTAATAAATTTACGATGATTGTTGATGGCTTGAATATACTTTATGGTATTGATCGATTTGCTACTGATCCTGTTACTTCAATGATTAAGGTTAGAAATTGTATACTTTATTATATAGTAAATTTGTTTTTTGTTTTATTTTATAAGACAATAAATTTTCTTAAAAATTTACATGTATCGAAATCACAAATGTTATTTATTGCACGTAAACATGTATTATCTCGTATACCATTTGATATCCAGAAAGATTTACGTTCAATATGTGAGATTTTTCTAGTCGATAATACGTAAATATCATTGATGATAAATATGTATAATGAATAATTTTTGATTTAATGATTTAGTTCTCGTGATGATTGGTTTGTTATATATGCTGCATTACATTCAAAAGCTTATGTTTTAACGTCAGATATATTGAGAAAAGAACGTGGAATAGCAAATAAATATACACCAGCCAAAAATGCTGAAGTCAATGATAAATTACAAAAATGGCTTTATCGTTATCAATATATGTTTATTCGACAAGGAAATCGAGTTTATTTTAAAGTAATTGATATATATTATTTTTCTTCGATTATTTTTGAAATTTTGAACTTTTTTAGCAACCAATGGCATACAAGTTAAGAGCACAATATACACAAAATGTATGGTTTATTCCATATTTCAATAAAAAACCTGTATCATTAGCTCAACGGCCTGACAATTGGTTCTTTCTTTATAATATCTCAGATAATAAAAAAGCAGCATCCGCAGTCAAACTAAAATCAAAACCACAAACTATCATCATTAAACAATAAGAAAAATCTCTATAACATCATATTTTTGTTTTTTGTTTTTTTCCAATTATTAATAAACATCTATATCAAACAATATTTCAAGGTTATCTCATCTATACATCTTCTATCGTAATTGATATGATACTATAATATTATTATTCATTTCATTGCTTAATTCATCAATCATTCATAACTTCTAAGAGTTCAGTTTTTCGATAGTGAATAACTAAGAATATCTCATCAAACTACAATCATGTATATTCTACATTCAACACATTCATAATAAATGTCATCACACTCTCTTCTTCATATATATATATATTATCATAAGTACTAGTCAATCCATTAATAAACATCTTTTCTTCACATGGATAGTTACAGCTTATAAAATTAATATTCAAGGTTATGACAAAAAGAAAAGAACAAATTCTCAAGAGTTCATTATAAATACTCTATTTCATTCTCTAATCCTCAAATGTCAATAAGAAATGAAAAAGAAAAGAATCTTTTTTTTTCAGATTAGATACTTTTTATTACACAAATTCAACGTCATCAATCAACTATTTTTTTTTCATAGATATAATTAATCATACAAGTAAGAACAAGATCAAGATGAAGAAAAAATGAGACAACTTTGTCAACTATGTAAGAGTTCATTTAACCTTGTCACCTGATTTATTTTTTTGGGGAAGAGAGAGAAAAAAAAACACCTAGTAGTTGTGATTATAATATGAATAGTAAGTAGAACAAGAAGGACATTGCAGTCACATATTCTCTCTCTCATTCGACGACGTAACATTGCCTCAAAAAAAAATATTGTGTATCTTTCTTTCCTGTTCATTCTTTTTTTTTTCTCTTTCCTTTTATACATATATTTAAGATTTTGCAAAACATGTCGCTGTATGAAGATTCATTTTTCTTTTTGCTAATTTGTAAATAGTGACATACAAATTGTTAATTATTAAAATAGACCTATTCCAACAAATTTAATTGTTAATTAAATAAAGAATAAATTGTGATAGGCATTATATCATAACAACTGTCTCGTCTCGTTATGTCCTTCTGCAATTATAATAAACCTTGAGGTGAGTTAATGATAAGGAGAAAAACACAATGTTTTTGACATACATATATATAAATAAAGCTCTTTATATTGAAGGTATTCGTCTTTCTTTCCCATACTACCTGTGTTTGTTGTTGTATTCGAAGAAGATATCATGAATAATCATTGTTCATATTTATCCTGTATTCATCATCACTTTCTTCTTCTTCCTCTTCTTCTTCTACTTTGTCTATCAGTTATTCCATTATGTTATAGTCAAAATGGATACTATATTACTCAACCAACACTAACACAAATTACTCCACTTAATTCCACTGCATTCACAATAACATGGCAATTTGCAAACTCATCCTTTGATCAATCTGATCTTATTCTTATTTATATTGGTATTTTTGCATTTTATAATGGTTATAATTCAACATGGGATACAACTAATTATACATTTACAACGAATAAAACTATAACTAGTTTAACAAAAAACTATGATTTTGTGAATGCTTTTTATCTTGTTTGTTTTTCATCCAATTCAACACTAACAAATGTCACTCAATTTGTTGCTCTTTCAACATGTCAACTAACAAGAACATGTACAAGATCAAACTCATCAGTTTGTCCAAAAGCATCTTTTATCACTGTTTTACCAACACAAATCTCATCAAACTCATTTATTATTACTGTTTATTTGTTAAATAGTTTACCCTATACACTCACTTCAACTCAAGTACAATTAATCAATACAAATACATATGGAACACAAACAGGTACAACATATAATACTACATATATCATACAATCATTTCTATTCTCTAATCAACAACCAAAGACAACTTATACAGTTAATACAATTGTTAATTATACTATTTTTACTACTACGATAGCTGAAACTTATAATTTCACATTAACAACATCTCGTTCATCAATTCTTGTTTGTACCAGTGATAGATTTATCTTCGGTGCTTCTATTTTCGCTATTTTATTAATGAAAGTTTTTTAATTATGAACATTCCATTATATTATACATATACATTTTTTGAACATTTCAGAATCATTTTCTAATTATTTCTTGTACAAGATTTTTCTTTTGCTTTTCTATTGAATATAATTTATTTAACAAAATACATATTTCTTCTTCTTTTTTTCTTACTCAATAAACACAAGGTTGATTAATTGAAAGAAAATGTTGTTATTTTTTGTAAAATGCATTACAATTAAATGTAATCTCTACTCAATGAATATGTACATATAAATTAAGTTGTCAATATCAGTTTTGTATACGATATGGTGTTGTTCTAACTAAGAATAACAAAATGTTTTTGAAGGTTGATTTCTAAGTAATCTAGTTGAATACAAAAGGTGTTTTTGTTATTTGTATGTGTTTGTGATATAGATACATCAACTGTTGTTCATATTAAATATAGATATTGTAATACTTATGTTAAAGTTAGGGTGTGGATCATGATAGTACGTGTGCGTGTGAGTGTTCTTTCTCTGAAGCCACACCCACACTCTCAAGATCTATTCAAAAATATTTATATGGTCATATATATACAAAGTTGTCATTTTTTATGAAGGTCACTGTTTTATTGTACTCATCCAAGTTAGATAAGTAGCGAAAAAATCAAAGTTTTAACGCGTAAAAAGCGCACATTTTAATACGTTAAAGAAAAGAATTTTTTTGTGAGAACAAAAAGAGTTGATCAAAGTTGATGTCTTGAAACTTGTTTTTATTCAAAAAAAGAATTTTTAACACGTAAAAAAGGTCATTTTTTTGTTACTTGACTGCCTGAGTTTTGAAGTGCAATAAAGTTAACCTTGTTTTCTTTTTCAAGGTATTTATTTTTTACTCTCTTATTCGATAATAAAGCACAATGTGCTGAATTTATTGACACACCTACATATACACAAAAGATAAAGTAAGAATTAAACATTTCTTTATTATACTCTTACACGATGACACATGTTATCGCTCTTCATGGAGCAACAGGTTCAGGCAAATCGACGCTCTCTCGTTTAATGGGTGAACATTTAGGCACGAAATGTCTTGTTATGGAGGAAAGTTTGGATGTACTTTTGACTACGCCAAGTTCAGATGATAGTCAAACGTCGTGGTATCGTCAAAAAACGGCAATTACCGCTAGTGATACTGTCACAAGTTTTTTTATGAGATATATCAGTCCAACATCGGTACTTATTTTTACCCTCATAACTTATTTTTTTACTGGTACTGTCTGGGCAGTTGTCATATTGTTTATTATTTGTTTGACTATTGGTCGATTTTTTCGTTGGCTTAACAGTCACATTTTATCAAAAATGTGGTTATACAATGTTTCTTTACTTAAAGATCAACAAAATCAAAATAATTATACATGGATATGGAGAGATCGAACTTGCGTCGATATCTATACATATTGTATAATGAATAATAGCACTTCAGTTCCACTGAATACGAGCCAAATTCTTCTAGAACAAACACACACAACGAGTGTAGCTGTCATACTAGATGTACCAGAACATATTATCAAGACACATTTAAGAAAAAGAATGACCGCTCCAACCACATCATTTTCGTTTGCTATTGCTACACGACTAATATTGTGGACTAAAATACCCGTTCAATCATCAATTAATGCTCTAAAGTTAATCGAACAATGGTACCAAAAAATGAATATACCTGTAATTAAAATTAGTCAACTTCGTAATAAATTAGATTGCGATTCAATTACAGGCGACATTCAATGGAGTAAACATTCGATCAATGTCCTCCATAAAACTATCGAAGAAGCTATTGAAAAACGTGGATTACCGTCGTCGACGATTGATGATTTGTTAATGCCATGGCAAACTATACAAAACTCTCGTCTCGCTCATATTTAACATAGGTTGATACTTATTTCGCATACCCTTCATAGTTGAAAGAAAATGTTTTTTTCCATCTTTCCATCAGAGCTTTTATATGACAATTGGTATTCCTACATAATAATTTATAATTATTTCGATTCTTTCTATTAAATTAAACTTTTAATATTAATATAGTTTATTATTACTAATATTTTTTTACATCAAAAAGCAGTACCCATTACATCTATTACAATTTATCAACTACACTAATGCATTTGAGTATCATAATATATTTTTTATTTTGTATTTTCTTTTAAAAAATCATTGAATGTTCATTCTACATCATATTGTCATGCTATATCTGTTAAATGCGTCATTCTATCAAACCAATTATTTGCAATGATTCAATTTTTCTCCCCAGCTTCATGTATTAAAGTATAATCAAGACTTTCAATTGAACAAACTAAAAGTACATTTATATCTTCAAATTCTTGTTGAAATGAATAAGTACCATTATTAGGATCATTATTTCATCTATTTGTTCATCTGTAGATGATAGATGATTTGCGCGAAGATAAGTTAAATGTTTTCCATCAGTTAAATTCTTTTGTAAATCATTAAGAATAATACGATAAAGTGACCAAAATTTTGTTTCAAGAGAAATACTAATATCGTTTAAAGTCATCATTGCAATATGAAGACCAACATGTTCATAACGATCAAGTGGTAAAGAATAACGATGACGTAAATTAACATCCAAATCATATTTAAAATTTGAAAATTTAGATGCAGGGTCATGAAGTCTATAGAATTATAATGTAAAAAAACGTTCCTTGAATATGTGTTAAGAAATATTGTAATTCGACGTACCATATATCTTTCACCATTTCTGCAATTGCAAAATAGATTGATGTTAACAGTACAGTTCCTATAGTAACTTTTTCTTGACGACATTTATTCAATAGTTTAGTCAGATTTTCTGCTTTACCATAATGATATAGAATAGAATTTCGACCAGTTGCTACTTCGTAAGGAATAATATGTTTCCAATGACGTTTATATTCAAGAACATTTTGAAGTAAATCTTCTGTTTTCTTTTCATCTTCATTTGTTAAATTTGAAAATACTATTGTTCACTATCGGAAAGATAGGGAAGTATTGATAGTTTTTGATGAAGATTATAATAAAAGATATTGTCGATGATTCATTGGATTCTTATCGTATAATAAAATTAATTTAAATGGAGTATTTAGTTCATTATTAACAATTTGTTTCCATTCATCTTTTGATTGAAATTCAATGTATAAAGGTGTTGAATATGGTTGTTTGATAAAATAAAATTGATTTGGTTTTGTTAATGAATTTATATTTAATTGAAAATTACGATGTCGATCAATACATTTATGTAATGCCAATTTCGAGACGTTGTCGATCAAAATATTTCACAGAATCAAATTCACAAATACATATAACTGCTCCTTCAAGATCGACTGCATATGATTCAGCCCAAGCTAATTCACGATAATATTGCAAAGTAGACATACTCAGAAACAAAAACTATGATGATTACGCACGTTTACAAAATAAAAATGAAAGAAAATGTGTTCGGTATATATGTCTACGTTAGTAAATATTTTTCTTTTTTTCATTTCTTTCTTTAGGCCCTATCTTCACTAGAGAAGGAATCCTGCATCAAAGTAGAATTAAATCAACACACGTCTTCATCTAATTTTTAATGCACCACTTAAAGCTAAGAGAGTGTAGGTGGGTGTGGAGATGTCGGTGTGGGATGCGAGCTTGGGTGTAGGTGATGATTTTGACGTGGGGGTATCGGTGTCGGGTGCGAGCTTGAGTGCAGGTGTGAATTTGGACGTCGATGTAGATGCCAGTTAAGAGTAGAGACACCTACACCCACAATCACATCCACACGCACACACCCACACAAAACATTATTATTTTTAATTAATTAATATTATTTATCTAAATCCTTTGTAAAATATATTAAATAAAATTTATTTTTTTGTTTTAATAGTTCCTTGAATAGTAGTCTCTTTGAAAGACAACAAAACATCAATTTTATAGATTTTTTCTGTTCGAATATTAATTAATAAAATATCTAGAAGACTTTTACAACTATATATCATTAAGAGAATTTCTAATTCAATTTATTTTATTCAAATTTTCGATATATTATGTATTTTAAGCTTCAATTTAACTTTTTAAAAACATGTAGTAAAATGAGTATCTTTATGAAATACGGATGATAAAGTTGATAAAATTTGGTGATCTTGGAGAAACGTTCATCATAACAAAAACATTATTATCACCTTGTGCAAAGTATTCAGTCTCCACGCCCTTCAAGTATTTAAATGTATATTACGCGAGGCAATACGGATACCTTCGATTTCCCCACGGCGTATGACCTTCTTCATCATAGAAGACAAAGAGCAAAAAGTTAATGCACGATTTCAATGATACAAAATTCTAAGTGTTCAAATTAATATAACAAATAGGTAAGAAATATCTGATTGAAGCAAAAGATCATCATTCATTTATGATAAAGTACGTATTACTTAGAAAACACTAGATTTTACAAAATTAATCAATTAGAACATGCTTTATACTCTAACAAACTAATTTGACGTCGTTTATATCAAGGTATCTTTTATTCTATTACCAACTCTATTAGAATACAATTCGTGCTATCAACCACTGTCAATTTACAAGCTTTACAATATTACTCAACATTTCTCAAGCTAATCAAAATAAGTATGCGTAATCATGAATAAGTATCAGGATTTTCATTTATATCACTATTTATTTCAAAATCGTTGATAAATTCAGAAATAAGAGGGATATATAAAAGCTTATCTACTAAGTTTTCATGCATTGCATTTACATAGCACAAACTTTACGTAAATCAGACGCTGGAACAAATATTAACGCATAGAGGTCAAAAAATCGAAACACTCTTCATGCACTATGACTGACACACCTATAAAACTAGTATTTATTATTTATATTAGTCATATATAACAATACATAAACATAAATTCATTGCAAAGTATAGACCATCTTTCTTATGTCTAAACGTAAACTGAAGAAAAACCATGAAAACAAACTTGTTATATCATCATTTTCATCTTCTGCATTCAACTAGATTAAATAAAAATTAAACCAATCAACCTTCAAAAATATTTTGTTACTCTTAGCTAGAACAACACCATATCGTATACAAAATTGATATTGACAACTTAATTTATATGTACATATTGATTGACTAGAGATTACATTTAATTGTAATGCATTCTACAAAAAATAACAACATTTTGTTTCAATTAATCAACCTTGTGTTTATTCAATAGGAAAAAGAAGAAGAAATATATGTATTTTGTTAAATAAATTATATTTAATAGAAA